GTTGCATTTCCAAGTGGATTTGCTCCCTAAATTTGCTTCGACCTCTCTTTTTCCCATTTCCATACAGGGAATAAATTTGGATGGACTAATCTACCCAGAAATGAATCTCTGTCAATCTAACTGCCTCCACATCAACAATTCTTTGGAAAGAATCTGGAAGAGTGCCGGTCCCACAGATAATTCACAACCTGAGACAAAAAGGGTTTACATAAGTTTTGAGCAAAATTGTTTCCATCACAGTGGAGGAATATGGGCTGTGCATCCTTATTTTCTCTCTTTAGCGCTAGTGTAACTGCATGCTTCAGTGTGCAAGAACAGACTGGAGTGGCTTTTCTTAACTAGTGGTTGCAGCTTTGAAAAGGTGTCATGGGGGTGGGCACATGGACCCATGGAGTGGCCCCTGCTGATAATCTCAGAGTGAGGAGTTGCAGGATCCCTCTCAGGGCTTCCTCAAGATTCAAAGAACTGTCCCAAGGGATTAGAAGGGTAAATTCAAGAGCCTAATTGTGGTTAAAAGCACAGTTCACACTGTGATTGTTTCTGCTCTCAAAGAAACTGAATGGGATGGGTAAATTGGCAGGCAGAATTAGCACTGTCTCTTCCCCCGGTGAAATACATGGGGCAGTCATATAGGTGTGTTTTGCCTGGTGCAAAGGTCTTCAATAGGAGTCTCTCCCACTGCTAACCATTATCTTCTAAAATTATTACCTTGTACCTCAAGGTGAGAACTGCAAAGGCCTAGGAGCTAATTTTCTGGGCCTAGTACATCCATCCCGCCCTGCCACTGCAGGAAGCTGAGTCTCCTTCACCAGGTTATTCACTGGAGGTTGGAAGTCCCCAGCACACATCCACCACGCAGGGAACCCTGTTCCCTTGGCAATGTTTGCAGCAGGCATCACACCAAAAGCACCTTCCCAGTATTTCCAGCTGTTCCGTTGGACACGGCACTGCCAGTTTGAGGAAATCACCTGCAGGTAGCATTTTGGCTCAAAGAGCTGTTACACTGAAGCTGTCCTAGCCCTTGGCTAAGAATTTCATTTGGGTTTTCCAAAGATCCACGTCTCCTTCTTAGAAGAAAGAAAATGTCATGTAAGTGTTTGCCCTGTGCTAGCAAGACAGTAGGACTGTGGTAAGACTGTGGGGGAGAGCACCGAAGGTGTCACTTAATATTTAGACACCTCCAAGAACTGTACTGGTGGATTCTCCTTTGGCTTATCAGAGACATGTCTGGAGTCCTTCAGGGTTGTAAGAAATCTCCCCAGCACAGCTGTAAATAGCAGCTCCAAGTCACAGACATGCAGACCTTATTTGTAGCATTAAATGTACTTCCTATTTTGGTATGGAAGCCTGTCCCTCCCTACAGATCCTTGGGGCTAAAGTCAAACAGATACCCAATGAGGGACATTAAATCAAAGTTTTCATTTGTGCGCTGTGAAGTAAAAACGGAGGAACCCAGAGCCCAAAGATCTGCCAGTTCTGGATAGGCACAGATTAACGAGGCAAAACTGAGACTTATTTCAGACACTTTAAAGTGGATCTTCAAAGATAATGACTTGTAATCAATTATCAGCATAGAATGACTGTGTCCATCCCACAGCACTGTTTTTAATACAAAGTCAAGAAAAAGCATGGCAGCAACATTCTTTCTAAAGCCACATGTATCTTTATTCTCCACCCAGGCCAGCGAGGATGGGAAAAGGGAATGCAATTAAAAATAACAATCAGCGAACACACACTATCTTTGCTTAAAAAAAACCATCCAGACTAGAGCAGCCAGAAACACACTCAACAATCAGAATAACTGGAATTCCCTGCAGTTTGACAGTGGCACATAAGCAGAAATTACTTGTGAGTTTCTCAAAGCAAGGGTAGAACAAGACAAAAACTTGTGCTTTTTTCTATTACAACAATTGATAATGTTTATATATTTTGCAGCAGGCAAACCGCTCTGGAGGATAACAGGCAAGAGAGAAAGCTATCCAGAGTTGTTTTGAGAAAAGTTTGAATATAACTTTTACAAATAGCACCAGAACTAACCCCAAGCTTAAACTAGCCCCCACCAAAATCAATGACAGAACACCCTGACCTTGGCAGGAGCAGAGGCAAGCTTGGTTAAGTGTAAAGAAGTAGAAAACACACGATGGATTGTTCCAGTATATCCCCCAAAAGGCGGCCTCCAAACCCAGAAGCATAGCTGCCATGGCAGAGGGAGGGTGCAACAACTTCTCTGACACGCCTTTGTGTCTACATAGCAGTAAGAGGCACAGATTTGGTTTTGTCTCCTCTCTGTCAGGCTGTTTGCAATCCTGAAAGCAAATCCTACAGCTCAGCAGACATTTCACATGGCTGTATTCTGTAATGAGCTAGTATTTATCATTCAAGCCCTCTGTAAGCTGAAGGCTCTTTGTGCTACTGACCGCAGCCTTTCGTCTAGCCTTGAACAGCTGCTGTTTGGCCGTGACAGCTGAATTGGGTTTTCTCCCTCTGCAGCAATGCACACTTGCCAGCCATCCTTCCTGCAGACCCACTTGTTTGATGCATGTTGGGGCCAAGATACACAATCCACTCTTTTAATGCCAGCAGCGTCCCTCTACGCAAAGCGTGAGAACACTTGCCAGTGGGCCTTCCTTCCCATTAATGGTTGTTAAGCATCACTTCTTCCCACCCTCCAGCCATGTAGGAGCCTGTGATTTCCATGTGGAGGAGTATTTAGCAGACTGGCTGCGCTGGGTCACTACAGATTGCCAGCAGTGGCATGACTTATCCTCAGCCTCTCTATTAATTTAGAGGCATATCAAGCTCCCTGATTGAAACAGCCCTGTGAAAGGCACTTCACTGCTTGAACTAGTCCCAGGCATTTGTCAGCTTCTTTGAGCCCCACTGAATTACCTGCCATTGCCTCACAGGTTGGAGTCTATTTATTTTTTCTGCTGGAAGTTGGTCATTGCCTTTAAAGACTTCGCCAGTAAAAACAGAAAGTTGTGCATCAGGAAGCAGCAAACACAGCCTGGCTGTACCTGGCTGTGCCCAGGGAGCACCTCTGCTTTGTCAGTGGTGTGTGGGGCCAAGTCTGCTCTTGATATTTGGCTCATACACTATTCACACTGTTAATCCACAAGCCAGCACTAAGATGCTGCTTTGGCTGGATCTCCCAGAAGGGGACAGACCAACGATGCATCAGGGACTTTACTTATTTCTCAATGTCAGGCCTAGAGGATCGGATGGACTTGTTCATACATCACCGGCTCCCAGATGTCCTAACCAGGACAGACAGTCAGTGTAGTCTTGAGCTTATCCTTGAAGTGCAACACAAAGCATTAGTTCCTGTGAAATCCAGCTTCTGAATGCTTCTCTCTACCATCCTAAAACTAAAGCAGCTCTCCCTCTGGTAGGGAGACTGGGGAAGTGAAACATCTATACAGACATGAGTGACTGTGCAGCCTGACTGACTGCACACTACAAATTATCTACCTATATGCATGCAAATGGGGGGCTCCTCTGGGTTAGGGCTGAGCCAGACTTTCTAGCAGCACCAGCTAAACTAGAGCACTCAAAAATTCATCATGTTTCAGACATGTAATTCAGTCCCCATTACAGTCTGTTATACCGCTTTCTTATTTTCCTCATGTCCTCCTTAGGCCAAAACCCCAACAGTCAATCCAGAAAAAGAACTTTTCTGCTAGTCATTTATTTTAAAGAGACAATTAAAATTTCTCCAGCCTATGGTGGCCACCTCAGCCTGGTCTGGGAGCCCACTAAGATGCCATGCAAAGTCCCAAAAGGAGGGAAACCAATTATGAAAATGAGACATGAGGGGAGGAGGATGTATAATCCATCGCTCTTCCACATAATTAACCAGGAAGTGTGTGTGGGATGCAGATTTCCAGAGCTGAGGCACTAATGCAGTTTGCACTGGCACTAACAGACATGGGCTCAGGGATGCCCCCGTTCTGAAAGGGAAGGTCTGGCCACTTGTCTATAAGTGCAACTTAAAAAACAGGATGGCTGTTTCAGTGAGACCTTCCCATCCCAAGCACCTTCAACTCCACCTCCATAAATACAGGTGCCGCTGGTCCCCACCTGCATTGCAGTGACATGCAAACTGATCACCCTTCCTTAGAGCAGGTGTTTTTCTTCCCTATATTGCAACTGTTTGCACTGCACACTGCGTACAACTCCATAGCCCATTCCTTCCTAGCAGTGCACCTATCAAGAGATCAAATGCAGGTGTGTCCTTAGCACCTATCTGTGCACCTACAGTCCCCTGAGGGTGCTTGGTGACAGGCCCATCAGGTCCCCATGCACTGCATTACAGAGCAAACCCTACTTTTCCATCATGTGATGGGTGCGTTTTAGGTCAGTGTAGAGCTCACGTGCCTTTGCTGGAGACTATGCTGTCCTCTCCCAGTGAAAGGTTGGGCACAACTGCTCCAGTGCTGTTTGTCAAACTCTTGACAGTGCCTAAGCAGTTAGCCTGTCTGGAAAGTTTGCTGCACTTGGTGGAAGGACGGGAAAAGGACCCTTTCTAGGAAAACTGCAGGAACATCACTTATATTGCAATTTAGCCTTCACCTCTGAATGAGTTCCTGTCTCCTGAAGTTCATCCCCTTTTCACTGGGTCAATTGGTCACTGTTACATCCTAATTTCTGAAAAGTAAAGTCTAACTTTACTGAAGTGGACTTTCCAGCATGTATTTCTGCCACTCGACAAACAGTCTGAGCCCCACAGACCTGCATTTTCTCACCATTCCCAGAAGTTGTAATTAGCTAAACCAAATGATGAATCCTTGGAGAGCCATGCACCTCCCCACCCAGGCCACGTGAAGCTAGCACTTGCATTCTGCGACATTTAAAGAGCACTCTCAGCCCAATATTCTGTTCATTAAGTTTGTGTTTAAATATATATATTTATATTTATATGTATTTTAAAAACCCCAGTGTGTTATTTTCTAGATGAGAACCACTTCCGTGTGACCAAAATAGTCAGCCAGGACAAAGGCTCAGACTGCTGAGGTCTCAACCCCCTGTGCAGAGCTCTTGCCAGAGAGACTACCTGAGATATTGTCAGAATCTAGCAGCTCAACAATACTGTACGGAGAACAATCTTCCAAACCCAGCTTGCTGCAGAGCCAGCCACAGAAGCCCTTCTCCATATCCCTGACAGCATGCCACCAGTACCCAAAGGACCATGCTACCTGGGCCATAGCCGAGTACACGCCTAGGGAAAAAGACACAACCATAATTATAATTGGGTAGAAGATGATCAAAAAGGGACAAAAGGTGATCTTGTGCCAGAAAGTCCTCTCTTCATTGTACACCAAGAAGATGTTGTACCACGTAATGGTTCCATAGTAGAATGAAACCACGAAGGACACTATAAAAATGATGGGGAGGCAGATGATGGTCCAGAGGACAATGTGGGGTCCTCTGTCCAGCCCAACATCACATTTCTTCTTCTTCTCAGGTGTGTCCTCTTTAGGAGGTTCCTTCGACTTAGCAAGTTCCTGCAGCTCTTTGTCCGTTAGTGTGACATGGATATCCACCATCTGACCCTTCTTCTTTCCCCTGGTGATTGTTCCAGTCAAGGTGACATACCGGCTGTCTAAAGGCATGTTCCAGATACCTACAAACACAGAAAAACTCAGCTACATTAGATTTATTTTCTGTACGGAGTACTTTGTGTAAACCCCCAAAGACAATTAGATAATGCATATGGAGTTATATTAAACCAAAACAAAACAAACAAAAATACGCAAGAAGCAATGCAGTATAAAGAACATTATCACAGAAGAAAATGGAAGAAGAGCTAATGAGGGAGAAGACAGGAATTCCAGATTGCAGAAATCAAAAGAGAGAAGACTCCAGCATCTGCATTAGGGACAGTATGTGAAGAGAAAGCACTGCAGGAGTACATAAGACAGAGTAACTGAATCAAAAATGGTATGCCTATTTTCTCTGGTACCCTCATAGATTTATTCCTGAACAGCGTGGACACTTGGAGTGAATTAGATAAATATGACTAAGACTCTTGTTCTGGAACAAACAAGAGGTGCTGGTGTGTGAAAAACTGAATATGAGCCAGCAGTGTGCACTCACAGCCCAGAAAGCCAGTCACATCCTGGGCTGCATCAAAAGCAGTGTGGCCAGCAGGTTGAGGGAGGGGATTCTGCTCCTTTACTCTGCTGTGGTGAGACCCCACCTGCAGTGCTGTGCTCAGCTCTGGGCACCCCAGCATAAGAAAGACATGGACATGTTGGAGCTGCTCCAGAGGAGGGCCGTGAAGATGATCAGGGGACTGGAGCACGTCCCCTATGAGGACAGGCTGAGAGCTGGGGTTGTTCAGGCTGGAGAAGAGAAGGCTCCAGGGAGACCTTATAGCGGCCTTCTGGTACTTAAAGGGGGCCTACAGGAAAGGTGGGGAGGGACTCTTGATCAGGGAGAGTAGTGATAGGATGAGGGGTAACAGTTTCAAACTGAAAGAGGGGAGATTTAGATTAGATATTGGGAATAGGTTCTTCACTGTGAGGGTGGTGAGGCACTGGCACAGGTTGCCCAGAGAAGCTGTGGCTTCAAGCAACATGGTCTAGTAGAAGGTGTCCCTGCCCGTGGCAGGGGAGTTGGACTAGGTGATCTTTAAGGTCCCTTCCAACTCAAACCATTCTGTGATTCTATGATGCTATGAATAAGCACATCCACACATGGAGTTATACTTGAATAGCTAGTATTTCACTGCGCATTTGCACTGTATCTCAATCCAAATTAATTTTCAAAGTTCAGAAAAAACTTACATACTCTCATATAGTTATATTTGCATTTTAAGGGATCAGCAAATGTACTAAACAGGAAAGTGCTGGGGTGTGTCTTAAAGTCACAAACAGACTGCCTCAGCTTTCAAGTGACATTGGTTTAGATGGTCCCTGCAGTGGTACTGGCCATAAACTCTTCCATGGGGCTAAAATATGCTTCCTCCTCATCTTAATTCTGACAAGCTTGGAAGGAGGTCTTCAGAGGCTCTTAAAAGGAGGCTGAGCAGTTTGAAGTAGCCCACGAAAACAGGAAGGCGTCAGATATGCCATGAGGATCGAGGTTGGGATCATGGGGCAATCTGGTGCGGCTGACGGACCAGGAGCATGCATTCACATTTAAGCCCCCCTCAGCCTGCACGGCTGACTCACAAGAAGATTAGCCATAGGACCTGCCGGCCACACTTCTCCCTGCAAGCGTATCCAAGACAGACACCAGAAGCGAAAGTGGCTCCAAGACGCCCCATGATGACCTTGCCAAACAATCCCTCTTTAAGAGGAAGCTGTGCTGAGAATATGCAAACAGAAGGCAACAGCAAATCCCACATAATGAGTGAAACTCCCTATCACAGATAGAGCCACTAAATCCATCTGCTTCCACTCTTTCACTTAACAGGCAGCTGTCTTAGGCATGGACCGTGGCTTGATCACAGCACCATTAGCTTAAAGCACGCTCAGCATTTTTCTGGATCAAGCCCAACCAGCACATACATCTAAACCTAAGAGTGTGGCAACAACCAACCTCTGCAAAGAACTGCAGGAGACACCCCAAATCAGCCTGTAATGCTTTTTATTTCAGAGTGTTTTAACGTATGAACTCAAGCTCTCCTTGTCTGCAGTCTTGGAGTGGGTTGGTCCCACCATCACTTCCATTTGACCTCAGTGCATGCTGGCACCAAAAAAGTTTATGGAAAGTGTGTGTTCCCAGAAATACGTACCATCTGCCATGGACTGACTCAGGAACTTGGAGCCTTCCTCAGAGCTCCTCTCCCCTCCTTCATCTGCCTGTTCTTCTTCCACCTTATTCTCATTCTCTGACCGATACACTATTATTGACTCGGGACGGGACTCTTTCTTCTTCTTTTTCCTCCGGTCCATAGTGGCTTCCCCATCAAATGTGACAGTGGTTGCCACAGCCCTTCTCATGGACCCACGGCGAGGGCTCTGGCTTCCAGACTTGCTCTCTTTCTGCACAGTCTCCTCCATCCCGCTGCTGCTTTCAAGCACCTCACTCGGCATCTTGTAGCACTTGTTTCCAATCTAACAGGTTCTGCACTTAGAAGTCATTGATTAGACAACGGTCCCATGGATGCTTTGTTTTGGTAAGATGTCCCCTGCTGACATACAAACTATGCACTCCATTCCCAGCCTAAAATGAGAAAGAAAACTGAAAAAGTGTCTTTTTCTCACCGAGCAGAAAAAATTGCCAGAATTTTCCTATGAAGGGTTACTTCCTACTGGTTTAAATGTCATCTGAAGATCCTTATTACAATTTTACTGTATATGCAATTTTATTACATGGATACATGTTTTGTAATATCACCTAATCCTGATTCTCAGGTTCCAATTTCAAATATAACAAACCAAAGCTACTGAAAAAGGAAAGAGTATTAACATTTGTAAGAAGAGATTAAACAAGCACAGCTTACTGGGTGAATTTGACAGTCCTCTGCAATACTGGAAGACAACAGTTTTGGCCCACATGCATGAGAATGAAGAAATGAAACCATAAACAAAAAAAAAGTTGACTGATTTAAGGGACTGGCCTAGATTAGAGACAACTGCAGCAGGAACACTGTGCTCATCCTGCATTACAACAGCTATGCTGGTGCCAACCTTTCTCATTTTGAGTGTCTTCTGATTTACTGCCCATTGCAAGGATATTACAAAAAGTAATCAAATTATGTCAAAATGAACAATGTTTCAAACTTTACCAATTTAGCATTACACAGTGCTGACAAACCTTAAAAATACAGTATATACAGTGGATTTAAAGCAAAATTACTATTAAGATGACTTCGCTGGGGAAGGAATTGGAAACCACAGCAAAGTCTTCTGATTGCGTAGGGAAAACAACCCAAATCTTCACAAATCTTTGTAACAAATATAAGGGCTCAGTTTTTACTCCTCATTCAAGCAAAATTAACAGCAATATCAAGTGACACTGTTATCTATGGGAAATCTCCCTAAGTAAAAAACATATAATTAAACATGCATCGAGGCAGACAAATCCTGCTCCATGAACGTGCAGGACGCAGGATTAACAGTTCTCAGATTTCATAACTTTTAAGAAATTGACTGTGCCAAGTATTCATGAAGTACTTAGGTACAAATCTGAATACACTGAATAACGTTTTAACAACTCAAAAAAAGGAAGAGCTCTGTTTAACATTTGCATGAACATTTATACTTAAAAGAATGCACATGACCAATAATTAAGCTTCTACTTAGCATCTGAGTCATCTCTTTAACAGAAAACGAAGAAACACAGCTATAATTTATAGCCCACACAATGCTGGGGAAATGGTTTTACTTGAACAGCTGCTAGGAAAACGTTGAGCATTTTTAGATTTGGCAGTATGGTCCTGGTCTTCCCACAGATAAACGATTTTGCTGGTTTGTTTTGAATTTTTTTGCAGAACTTTAGATCAGCTATTTATGCCTCACACACTCATACACATACACAACTTTTAACTGCATCACTTTAACACCTAAGACTGTGGCCAATTTGCCTTAGGAGGCTTTGAAGAATTCAACAAATCAGATTATGTTTTGCATTATAGAAAATAAATCTTCCCTGGTGATCAGAAGACACATAAAATGGAATACAAAAAATCAAGATTCAGCATACCCTGGAAGTCAGACTACTTCTATATCACTGGGCAGGGACTATCTCGGCTAGCTCTCCAGCATGGCTGGAACAGACTGTTTAGATGATTGCCATCTCAGTTTACACCTGCCATGCAAAAGTGTATGCCTAAATTTCCAGATGTACTGGAAAACAGCTCTATAAAATACTAAAGTTACTGCAAATACTCTCCCCTCACTGCAGCGTCAAGTGTTGCACTTTAGAACTACCTAGAAGCAACTTGGTTTAAATATTCCACTGTTGATCAAGGGAAGCAAGAACAAAGGGGGGCAGTGATGATGAATGCCCTTGTCTGGTGCACCAAGTAAGTGTGGTTCGGTGTGGGGGTTGTTCAAGATCACTGCCTGTGCATTCTCCTCCCATTCCAAAGTCCAACCTCAACAGAGAATGGAGCAAAAACAAGAAAGGAAAAACATCTCATCACCCCATCCCCCAAAAAACCCCGCAAAACATAAATGAGCTAACAAGAAGCTATTCTTCAATACAGTTCTTGTACCTCGTCTGCCCGAGAAATGTGGCCTTTACATCTGTTCGGAAGCAGCGTGCAGATAGGCCGTTTTTCACAGACCATAATATAGAAGAGGAATGGGATATGCAAGAAACTTCATAGTGAAATCTAATGCTTTGCTTTCCACTTCCCCCTTTTAACTCCAAAGCAAACCATCCACTGACTTCAAAGATAGCAAGCTCTGGCTCTTAACATGTTAACATTGGCAGGACTCCGAGCTCTCTTCCCATCCACTGGAATTCACGTAAACTTTTGATCAGTGTTTTTTAAAAAGGCCTTTACGAGGAAATGGAATAAATCTATTCTATGGAGTAAACTCCCTCTTTGTAGTAAATTCATCCAGGAGGTACAATAGGCTCTAACATTTTTCTCTGAGAATCAGCAAAAAAACTTCATGTTTTGCATTTACAAAATCCTAAAATCACCTGATTGAGCCTAATGAGTGCCAGAGACAACAGTGAGATTCCCCTTCCAGAGGTGGTGAAAAGAAAACAGGCCTGGAGCCACAGAGTAGCCAAAAGCATCACTTCTGGGATGATCTACTAGAAGCCTGGAGACAGAGAAGTTGATCTGGGATTAGATTCCCAAAGTTCCTGGCTGTAGTTCCACGCTCAGTCCCTACTGCCTTGAAAAGGGGATGACTTGCCAGTAATATTTAAAAATAACACAAAAGTACAGGCAAAGATTTGTGGTTGGACTTTTTTTTTTCCTTGAAGTCCATCCAGCTGTGACCTTGGTTAAACTCACAGTAGATGATAAGCTAATGCCAGTTCTCGGGGTAATGCCAAAGCCTAAAGGACTATGTCAACCTTGACTATGCAAGGAGGAGCAAGGCGATGTCACTTTTGAATCTGTCAGATAGGCACTGGAAATCTATGCCCAGTCCTTGTGCTCACTGGTCAGGAGGGATGCTGATTAATGACCAGAAGATCCCTATGACCTCTGAGCTGTTTTGCTATGTCCGACATTCCCACCCGCACTATAGCAGCTACTGCCACTGTGAATTACCACCAGGACTAGAAAGACGTCAACAGCAGGGTTATTGAGGGGTGGTAGCTCAACTTCTTCTCTTGCTCCTGAGCTGAGAAGAGGGGAGGGAATGGGCAATAGGGGACAAGCCCCTAAGAAGGACCATTGCTGTGGCTGGGTCAGAGCCCTTGGGATAAGGACGTGAAGGAACACAGATTATTCTGTTTAAGGCACAAGGAGGTAAAAATGTCAGTCTGTCTACATCACAAACGAAAACATGGTGAAGGAGATCCCTCTGGTCCAGCAGAGGAGGATGCAGTAAGATAAAAAGCTGAAAGATACAAATACAGGGAAATGCAGTGCAGACGTTAGGTAGGTGTTTTAACAAAGTGGGTAGGTGTCACTTGACACACATCATGGAGGGCTGGTCTGTTTCCAGCACTGGAAACTTCCAAATCTGGACTGGATATCTTGGCAGCAGTTTGGTCACCAGTACTTGACTAAAAGAGATGCTAATGTGAGGAAGTCCTCTGGCTTGTATTAGAGAGCAGTCAGATTGAAAGATCATAAAGATTCCTCCTGATCTTAAGCCTGTTGTCACAGTAGATGTTTGTTCTTTTCTCATCTGTTTCTGCCAATGGAGCAGCTGGGATACCCTCTGCCACCTGGTCCAGACCTTCTGAAAACAGCACTTTCAAAAACCACCATCAGCCCCACATCCCATAGGGATGCTGGTGAATCAAACAGGTTCATGCCCCTGTCCCACATTTCCTGGGAATCTTTTCTCTGTAGCTGCAAACAAAAAAAATGGGCTCTTGCAGAAATCACGGTAGTGTACACAAAGCTTGTTTTTTCTCTCTTCCTTTTCTTTATGTCCTGTAAGAACAAGGACAGCCATCAGCGTTACACAGCTGTCTACAGCACCAACTCTTTCAGCTGTACACTGAGATCCTCACCCCTTAAAAGCCTTGCTGTGGAGCTGCAGCATGACAATTGCTGTGCATCTAATATTAGTGATGTCTCCCACATGAGAGCACAGGGGCAGACAGGAATCTAGTAACTGTCCATGGGAAGGAAAGAAAAGAAATGGTCACATTTCAGAGATAGCAGGGAGCAGTTTATTAGCCAAACAATTTGTTATTAATCTCTGTGTGAAAACAGATGGAGAACCCTGGGGAGGTGGCTCTGCAAAAACACTCCGTAGAGGAATTTTTAGAAGCACTGTCTTCTGTTACTATGCAGGAAAACTACTGCTGCTTATGCTTCCTGTGACAGTATTAGTCTTTGACACACAAAGCAGGAGCCTAAAAGCTTGGCCTTGCACCATTTAGGTCAAAGGAAGTTTTTTCCATTGGTTTTCAGGGCTTGATCCTGCTGCTAACAGAAGAGAAATTATCTGGTTTGAATGCAGAAAGGAAGGAAGAGCCTTCCCGCAAGCTAATAAAATCCTTGATCTTAAATCACTGCTACAGCACAAGTAACCTTTTTATGACTGTTCAGAGCAGATATGAAAGGAAAAAAATGTAGATGGTAAGCAGTGAGGAGCATCCATTTTTATTTTTATAGTCACATAAAATGTACAACACATAAGAAGAACTGGCACTGTGTCTTCACTCACATCATACAGGGGTTATCTGCAGAAACAAAAACTTGTGCTTTAGAAGCACTGTGAGTTTCCCAGGATGGTGAGGAGATAAGGGGAAATTTACCCAAGACACACCTTGAGAGAGCACTCCCCAGGTACAGATCCTCTGCCTGCTCCTTTTACTCCATAGACTCCCCATCCCCAACACCGCCTCTGATTCTGTGCAAGTGCATATGTGTGTTTCTGAGAACGCACGTCACCCAAAGGATTATTTCCAATCCCTAGTATTTTTAAAGGGGTTATCTGCT